AGTTCTACCGTTCTTCATACAGCTTAATCGCTATGCGATTATTACTATTGGCATGATTCTTCTATTAGAACTCCTGTTCCTGTATTTCTTACTTGCCGCCGGACTCTGCTAATTCCTTCGCGTGCGACGTCACTCTCGCCGCGACGCGACAACTTCTTTCCTACTGCACCACACCCGATGACTTGAGATCAACCAACTTCTGCCACTAGCAGAATGCAGATACAATACAACTGGACTTCGTTCTTACTTTTTCGCCCACTGTACCCCGCTTTACCGATTCACGAAACGATCAGACGAGCATCAGTTGTTGTGCTACACACGATTGAAAAGTTAAAATTCTGACAATGCAGAAGAAGTAAATTAAATAGCTCAGGTTCGAAACCAGTTGGCTGGTTGCTCTAATAGTGATTGCCATGTTTGTCTTTTTTTGGTTTTAATTATATCTCACTTAGGATTCTGCCGAAATCGATAAACTCGACGAAGAACACGTAAAACCAGGTAGTAGCTTTATCTCACTTGCTTGTCAATTATTAGTCCAAAACTAGTTTAAATATCATCAACTTTTCATTTTTAAGTATGCCCTAGTGGCGCTATTCCTTACGGAATTCCACAAGTGATGCTGTGCGATCCGGTTATCGTCAACATTTGCCCTAACGGTTACACGGTAAGCACGAAAACAATTCAATTACTAGAGTCAATCTCATGGACTCCACCCACAGTGGGCGGGGTACATGAGGAATAGCACGCTTCTCATTGGTGCGCCCATCTACAAGGAGGGGCTATCCGATGAGGACAGCGCAATGTTTTTAACAACCCCTATCTTTTTGCAAGAGAGTATTATGCTCATAACTTGTGACTTTTGAAATTTTCACTTCGATTAATCCCGATTATTTTGGAATCCATAATGATTTTTTATCTGTAGTGCGTCGAGGCAGCTAATGGTCATCTGCTTCCGAGAGACGCTCGATCACTTTGCTGTAAAACTTCTACACTGTATTCATTTGCTTCGGTATTCGGAGAAGTGAAGCTTTCACCACGAATCGTACCGAATCCGCCGCTTTCAGCTATTGAATATGTAGGTTTCATTTAGAATAATTTCGCATCACCAAAAATAATAATTCGAAAAGTTCTATATCAGAGAAGAAGAGGTCACTGCTAAAGATTGGTTTTCCTGTGCGTATCCTAAAAATAGACGTTAGAATTTTTCACAGTTGTTATGGCGCTTGGATTGAGACAGCACTCTACCGTAATAAGGTAGTTAATGCTATACTGGGCGCTAGGCTAACCCTTACGACAGGTCATAGCCCTCACGAGCTAGCCTAATCTACCATTCCAATATAGCTACTTACTCGCTTTCACAACGCTTCACTTCCTTCGTATTCTTTGAAGAACCCCAACACAAATGACGCTGAATTTCGGGCGAAACGATCAGTCTTAGTCGGGACTGGAATCCTAAGCAATGTTCCAGAAACTGTAAGAAACCTAACCTGCCATTTTGGTCCCACAAAGATTTCTTATCTTAGGTCAGACTCAATGTGCATACATCGGCCACAATGCATGCCCCAGAGATTCGTACCGGTGATCATTTCGTGCTGGCACCTTTTAGGCTTCTTGAACCAGCATACCTGAAAGGAGTAAAATTGTTTGCAGAACAAACTCGTGGAAGTTACATACACGTTTTACTTTTCGGTAAGTAATTGGTAACTTTTTACTGAACAATTTTCTGATGAGATTCAGAGGCCTACCCTTCCTCTTTTCAAGACTATATATCCCTAGCTTCAGATCCACTCTCATCAACGGAGACCATGCAGCTGTACTACGACCGTGTTCCTGAAGGTGATCGATATGTGGACTTGGAGAAACCAATTGAAGATGGAGGATTCATTTCAAAACGTATCTTCAATGCGCCACCACAGACAAACATTGAAAATCCAAAGCGTCCAGGGCCGATTAAGGAGTGTTAGTTGATCTTACAATACAGTGGTTACTTACTACTCACGGTAAAGGACAAGAATTACCTTCCGAGCAGCTTTTAGAAGAAATTGTCGAGATCCCTTGTGGTACTAGTTAGAACATGCAATGAGGTCTGAGGGCAATTTTGAAGTACAAAGCACTCAAAACGTTCCACTACCTTTCCACCAAAGCGTAAAAACTGTAGTGGTGATGTGCAAAAAAAAAATAAATAAAATGAAAATAAAAAAATAAAATGCATAAATAAAAATTCTACAATATCCAGCAACCCTTGCTCAGGCTGCAGCTTCACTAGGTATACCCTCTAGAGAATGTGACGCATCAATGGACTTGTTGATTGATTACAACTCTGATTGGTTACTTTGATCG